TTTGCAATCGAACGGAGAAATACAATTACTACCTTTGTACTTTTAAAAAACTAAATAATAATAGTAAAATACGAACAGTTAAATTACTATTATAAAATAAARGTTCCAATAGAACCACTCAGATTTTCTTAAATAGGTAGTAAAATGGAAGTATATACGAAGAGTAAAAAGGAAAAGTCTAAGAAAAATGTGATGAACTGACTTTTTAATTAACCTTGCAATGAATGATGATGTTGACACGTCAAAAAATGTTGGTCAATATTCCAATCTACTTTAAACTAGATTTAACTTAATGTTTTCATTAAACTAATTTATATATATAGAAATAAATTTTTAGGACATACTAGCTGTTTTACACGATTTAACTTGGACTGAAACAACGAAATTTTTTTCTATATACCTAACCTATTTATGTCTATATACCTATAGATATTTTATACTCTGCAGAAAGTATCTGTTATGTACCTATATTGTTTTTAATAGACTCCGTTAGTCTTTTTGAAAACTTTAAAATTAAGTGAATTCGTTATTAGGTGTTAATTTAAATAATTGAAATGTACATATTTCATTTACAAGAGATCAATTTAAAACCCAATTTAATAATATTTTAAATTTAAGTATGATTATACATACATTTTTATAAACTTAAATCAGAAATCTTTTTTTTTCCCCATGGTATCGAGGACCGGAGAAGGAATTATGTTGCCAATACTTCTCCTTTAAATCAGAAATTTAATGTAAGATGAAACACAAAATAARACAACCATTTCATATGATATAGGTTGATAAAGGTTCCAACAAAATGGTTRACAATTATATTATTATGATTAATTATTTTTAGTTTTAACATAAGTACGATTTACAATAAAATAAAAATCCTCATTATACTATTTATAATTGACCACGATAAAAACAATTTTTTAGTATTATTTCAATGCCATTGGAATATATCGTAACATTAGAACTTTTAAGCAAAAAATAAATTAATAATGTGCGTTAAAAGGAGTTTTAAAAAGTGTAATAAATGCACTTATATACAATATATATATGAATAAAGACCTATAGTATTAATACTATAGTATACTTATTACTATAGTATTAAATTATGTATTTTTTGATCTTAATAAATCTAAAAAATTAATTTTTTTCTTGTTGTGCTCAGTAAATTGATATTGAATTAAAATTTAAGATAAATTATT